AAGATTCCAAGACTACAAAAATAATTTAAGGAGAATATGAGACACTATTAAGGCTCCAAATATTTGTATGATCGGCATAACTGAAGAAAATCAAGATGTTGAACAGCTGTTTGAAGAAATAATGATGGAAAACTTCCTTAACCTGGTGAAGGAAATGGACGTAAAACCCCAGAAAGTTCAGAGAATTCCAAACATCAGAGATCCAAAGAGGCCCGCATCAAGACACATCATAATTAAAATGCCAAAGGTTAAACTGGCAGTTGATTTCTCAAGAGGGACTATGCAGAATAGAAAGGCTTGGCAAAAAATATTCGAAAGAATGAAGACCCAGGATCTACAACCAAGAATAATTTATCCAGCAAAGCTATCATTTAGAGTTGAAGGACAAATAAAGAGCTTCCCAGACAAAAGTAAGCTAAAGAAATTTATCACCACCAAGCCAGTTTTACAGGAAATGCTGGAGGGACTTCTTTAAGAAGAAGAAACGTGTATCAAAAACAGGAATAAAGAATGGTACAACTACATTTCTATCAATAAGTACCTTAAATGGAAAAGAATTAAGTGCTCTAACCAAAACATAGAGTGGTTGAAAGGATAAGAAAACAAGACCCCTACATATGAAAAGGAAGGGGACGGAAAAAGATATTGCTTTGATGGACCTAGAAGGTATTTAAGTCAGAAAAAGACAAACACTATATGATTTCAGTTATATGCGGAATCTAAGGAATAAAAAGAACGAACTAATCAAAAACAAATTCACAAATATAGTGGACAATTTGGTGTCAGACAGAGTGGAGGAGGGTTTTGGGGACTCGGAGAATGGGGTGAAGGGCTAAAGAAGTATAAATTAATAGCTGATGGATGGTCACAGGGATGGGGAGCATGGCACAGGGAATGTAGTTAGCATTAATACATTGGCTAGGTGGAGGTTCGGGGGAGGGAGGGAGCAAGTGGGGGGATTGTTTTATGAACTATATAAATGTCTAACTAATATGCTGTATACTTGAAATTAACTTTAAAAAAAAAACAACAATGTTACACAATATGGTAACTTGCTTACATCCATCTCGGAATTGGGTCAAAATACTTAATGATCTTTCTACTGGAAATAACTGGCAGTGGAGAAAAGTTTTTGTTACTTGTACAGTGTCAGATAACGAACAATACCATCTTAATTTTGGAATATACTGTGTTTGCTGCTGCTATTTCAATACAGTAAAGCAACAGCCTTACAGAAAAATAAACAGTTTAAAAATAAAACATTCAACTTCTTCATTAAAAAAACCCAGAATGGTATAAAAACATATGCACAGATCAATGGAACAGAACAGAACGCCCAGAAACAACCCTATGCCTATACAGTCAATTAATCTATGACAAAGGAGACAATAATATAAAATAGGGTAAAGACAATCTCTTCAATAAATATTGGGAAAACTGGGTACATGCAAAACAATTGAAACTATTTATGTATATGTTTACACCATATACAAGAGTAAACTCAAAATGGATTAAAGACTTAAATTTAAGACCCGAAACCATAAAACTCCTAAAAGAAAACATAGGAAGTAAACATTTTAACATTGCTCTTAGTAATACTTGTTTGTATACCTCTCTTCGGGCAAGGGAAACAAAATAAAAAAAATAAATATAACAAATGGGATTACATCAAACTGAAAAGTTTTTGCACAGCAAGGAAAACCGACAACAAAACAAAAAGATGACTACTGAATAGAAGATACTGCCAATGATATATCGATAAGAGGTTAATATCCAAAACATATACGGAACTCATACACCTTAACACCAAAAAAACAATCTGATTAAAAAATGGGCAGAGGCCCTGAATTGACATTTCTCCAAGAGGACATGGAGATGGCCAATAGACATGAAAAGATGCTCGAGGTCACTAATCATCAGAGAAATGCAAATTGAAAGCACAATGAGGTATCACTTCATACCTCTCAGAATGGCGGATTTATCATCAATAAATCAATAAATAGCTAGTGTTGGCTAGGATGTGGAGGAAAAGAGAAACCTTGTGCCCTTTTGGTGAGATTGTAAATTGATGCAGCCACTATGGAAAACAGTATGGAGATTCCTCAAAAAATTACAAAGAGAACTACCTTATGACCCAGCAATTCCACTTCTAGTATTTCTCTGAAGAAATCCAAACAGTAATTCAAAAATATATGCATCCCTATGTTCACTGCAGCATTACTTACAATAGCCAATATATGGAAGCAACCTAAAAGCCTACCAATAGATTAAGAAGTGGTACATATATATACAAAGGAATATTACTTGGCCATAAAAAAAATGAAATCTTACCATTTGTGACAACATGGATGGATCTAGAGAGTATTAAGCTAAGTGAAATAAGTCAAAGACAAATACCATGATTTCACTTATATGTGGAATCTAAAAAAAATTAAATGAGTAGATTCATAAAAACAGAACAAATTGATGGTTACCAGATGGAAAGGAGGTGGGGGGGAGGGGTGAAAAGGTGAAGAGATTAGGAAATATAAATCATCAGTTATAAAAACAGTCATGGAAAATATAGTCAATAATATTGTAACAACTGTGTATGGTGCCATGCGTATTAGGACTTACTGGGGTGATCACTTCATAAAGTATATAAATGTCTATGTTGTACATCCAAAACTAATACAATCGTGTATGTCAACTGTAATTGAAAACTAAAAACATCTGAAGAAAAAAAACCCCAAAGCTGACATTAGCAACAATTTGTAATTAAAACCAAAGTATACCAAGGATTGAAAACCAGTCAACCAATGACAAACCTGACGTTCAAGCACCTTCCCAAATTTCAAGAACTGTCAGTAGCTATGGGAGCATCCAGGCTTAAGGAACTTTACAATGTTGTCCATCACTGTCTAGCACCCAGGCTTCCTAGGAGACACTAAATTAGTCCACAGCAAACTCTGTTAACTTAATTTTAGTTGAATACTAAATTTGAGAAATCCTTGATAAATGCACGTGTACTGCTTACCTTATTAAGTATTTAGTCATTAACAGAAATGAAAGTCAACAAATTTCAAGTCACTCACCTGTAAGAACTTTTTTGGATTGGTTTCACAGCCTATGAAAAGACTAAGACAATACTGGTTGAGGTTATTTAAAACAGCAATAATTTAACTGGAATCTCTGTACAAGCATATTTTACGTAATAGGACAGAGGTTGAATTTGTCTGAATCTAATATTTTTACAATTGAAGGGATTCGGTTTCTACAACTCAAAGCATAGTCTATAAGGGCAAAAAAACTCTTCTGTAATATGAATTCTAAAACCTTTAGACTTTTTATATGTTGAGCTTTCTTAACATATACCCTCATTAGTAAATCCTCAATACAATCAGATTAGAACCAGCATCATTGTTGAATGTGGCACCTGGTGGCCCACTGAGCCTGTTGTTCCTGTCTTATGGCCATTTCTCCTCTTTCGAGAACACTGAATTTCTTTGGGGGAAATGCTACTTCTCAGGTCAGTACGTTCCCATTCCAAGTGTGAAAAGTGCTCAACTCTGGTTGATTAGGTATTTTATCTTCTTCCCCAAAACAATCAAAACTGGGCTTCAGTCATCTGCAATGGAAAAATTCCTGACTGAATTTTCTGGCTCACCTGAGATTAAAGGCATTAGGGAACATGGGCAAAGAATTCACAAGTATCCTGATACAACGAAAAGGGGTGACATAGGACTCGAGAAGCTTAGGGCCTACTTGGCAGGCCTGGCAAGCCCAGTGACCGAAAGTAACCACACAGGATAGTCTGATAGTCTGAGCAGGTAATGGCAGGTAGTCATGCCCCAGGCCTATAGCTTCTTCGCAATCCTGAGTTCTGTCTATTGTTCTTAGGCATCTAAGATAACATACCTTTGAAATGCCAGAGTAATTTTCTTTTCCAGACCTCCTGAAGACACAACAACAGGCACCAGAGCAGGAGACCATGAAACTCTTCGTTGTTATATTGTTGCCTGTGTACCATCTTTAAGTGTGATAAATGTTAATTATTAACAACCTTGTACCCACCAATGTAAAGGAAGCATGTATCTCTCCATTTTCCTTTTTGTCTAGTCCTAGGGATTTCCCCATTTTTCCTTCTCCTGACTCCTGCATCTTAGCACCAATGGATTTCATGTATCCTATGTTTTCTCCTTTGACTCTAAATGAATAAAATAAGCTGTAAAACTGCCATTCTCTGAGCATTTTCTCAATCTTGCCTAAAATAAATTATTATAAAGCTTTCCATAGGTTTAGATGTTCTTTCATTGACAACTTTAAAATAGCCCTTTTCTCATACTGAATTTGAAAATATGGGAAAATAGAATTTTGCTATATGTTTTACTTGTAACTTCTAAGGAAGGCTTTTTATTAGGACTCAAATTAAAACTTAATTATTCTATTTAAAAACTTTTAGTAATCAAATACAAGGCAGTTCCCATCCCCTAAATAAGATCTATAGTAGTCAAAATATTCAATAGTTGAGTTTTTTAAATAGCTATAAATTTCTGAGAATCAAAACTTTCCAATCTTTAAGGTAAATTTAACAAACTTTCGAAGTGACTTGTAAAAGTCCCCATTCATTTTATAGCATCCTCCTCCCCCAAAAGCTTTCAGACCAGTAGAATTTTTTTTACAGCATCTTTGGTTCTCTTACTTTCAGAAGTTTGGGGTTCTTTTTTGGGGGGGTTGGGGGGTGGGGAGAATCAACAACCGAAGATATTTATCACTCCTTTCTTGTCAGATTATTTTTTGCTTATTTTTTAAGACTGGTGAAATACATGTGTTAGAACTACTTAAAAGTTTTCCTATTATTTCTGGACTAGTAGCTTGTCCCTATATATGTATCCATTTTATAGAGAAACACACAAAGACAGTAATGAAGGGAGACTCAAGCTAGTTAAAATTCTACTGAATGACATACAGTGATTTTTCGGTTAAAAATTCCTTGTTTGGTAAAATATTCACAGTAAAAATCCATTGAAGCTAATTTTTATTAAAACCAAAGCACCAATTAGCCCCCTAAAATTAAACAAAGAAACAAAGACTACTGTCTCAGATGTCCTTTACAATAAGCAAACCTTTCATGAAGAAAGAAATCTGTGATCTAATTGGCTAGCATTACTCCCACTCAGGTACATGAGCCACCAGCATGTGAATTATGACAATAAATTCACACCCAAAATGAAGGGGCAATATATGTTTGTAAAAAGATACCAACTATTAATTTACATGAAGTTATAAAATACTTTAAGAAATATGTACATGGTTATTTAAAAGGGCTCTATTTCAGTAAGAAATTAGATGGTTGAATGCATGGTCATGCCCATATTTTAATGGCTAATCAGATCACTTGATTTCTCTCTTTCATAACGAATACAGATAAACAGAAAAATGAGTACATCTTCTATTTAAACCTAAAAACCTCTTGTTCACATGAAGTAACTTATTTTTGGGATTCACATTATTTGTGGATCAGGCCTCAGCAAAAGGAGGAATAACTCCTTTCGTTGTCTAACTAGTCTTTCCATGGAACCCAAATTTAAAAGTCGGAGCATTGCAACATCATAGGACTTTGACATGCAAATTAATAAATGGAGCAATGAGCTGTATACTCACCTTTTTGACTGTGGAGTGAAACTTTCTGAAAGCATTTTTATGTTACAACTACACTACTGTGTGGTAGTAAAATGTGGAGCCTATTCTTTAGTTTGGAAAAGAAGATATTTTCCTTTTAGCAACTTCCAATTTCCTACCCCTCCACTGAGAAAAGATAAGGCCTGCTAATTCAAAGGACGAAATGATTGCATTGCTAGATGCTGATGTACAAATATATTTTAAATATGCTGTATCTCAGTCCATTTATATTTGTCATAGCCATATAAGTCACTGACTGTGTACTTGGGTTTCCTTATTGCCAGGAAGATCAGATGCTTGGCACCTGGGAAAGCTCTCGATGAGCTGGACTGAGTAAATCCTAGCTCCCACATCATCTGCTCATTCATAAGCCCCAGCTAAAGGGGTGATCATGTGGTCACATTCAGTATTGGGTGTCTTATAGCTATGACACTGGGCTCTTGGTTACAAATCCAGAGGGAAATCTCATGGAGTTTTTGATCAGAGATAAACATTGGGTTAAGCTTAGGTCAAGGCTGCTTGAATTGCACTGAACTTTTGAGAGGATACTCTCTAAATGAGCATGGGATAGAGTCAGGATTACTTAATGTCTGTTAGAACTTAGGAGCTACTTACTGGGATCCACCTGAGCACATAGACGCTTATTAATAAAGTCATAAGACTTTAATCTTAAAGACCATTGCTGAAGGCTATTTGAAGAGAAAAATACTTTTAATATAATTTATATTATGTAAGATTATAGGAAAGATGGTTCCCAACTGCCTTTAATTCAGCAAAAAAAAAAAAAAAAATGGTAAAGGTGAAACGGAAATACTGTTTTAAAAGATTAATATGGCACTGAATATAACAGGGAAAGTTTGGGATACATTACTAGAAATTCTGGCTCAGAAATTATTTTTCTCTCTCCTCAGTGCTACTTCCCTTTATGATCCTCTTCAAAATTTATCTGTGTTGCCCTGTTTTAACTCAGGAGGTAAGTATGGAAGAACAAACTATCAGAACAGTAATCTAAGATGCCAACAATAAACTTATCGGTAAAAGTCCCACAGCTGCTGGAGCAAAAAAAAACAAAACAAAATTAAATGGTATATGCACGGTTACCAAAATTTGTTCGGTCTTTGGAGGGATGTCAAATGCGTATTCAAAACAACACAAACAACAATTACCCTGAATGCATATTCGGAAAAGTGATTAATAAGACTTTTTAACCATTAATATGTAACTGACATGTTATGGATAAGAAATAACTCTATGTAGAAAGTGAGAAGCTACTGCTACTAAGTTATTTTCTTATATTTTATCTTTAGCAATATCTGAAAATCCAATAAATTAGCCACAGATTATTTTCAAATTGACTAATTTAGAAAGTAGTGCCATATAGATAAATGCAAGTCTTCTAGGTTTAATTCATGGCACCATCCAAAGATAACCTTCTTTCAAGTCAGCTATATTTTTATTCTGTGAGCCTACAGAGAAAAATTTCCCTCAGCTAATTAATGTTTTATAAATATAGGTTTAAACTGGAAAACGAAAAAATTTCAGGTGTAAATATTTTGTCAAATGTTAGATTAGCAAATAGCACAGCAATTTTCTCCTATCTTAATCTAGTTTCCTTTGACACTGAACAAAAGAAATAAATGTCAATTAAACTAGCTAGGTCTGGCCCATTAAGAATATGCTTCGTCTCAGAAGATATGTCTTCTGTATTTCTATCAGAAGAATGAAAATGAAATTCAGAATTGTCAGATGAAAGATTCAATATGAGGTTCTGTTTCTTAAAAATAGGAAACAGATGCTTCAGAAAAAATTACATTTTCATTATAATTCCCTCTAACTGCCTGCTCCCAAATGCCACAATACATTTTCATCCCAAATTATAAAGACAGATGAAAACCACAAAAACTAGTTCCTTTCGGGGGAACTTAACATTTAATGCCCAACAGGGTATATTTTAAAGAATCCTCACATCAAATATGGCGCACACTGCTGTATTTCATATTTTGAGTAGTTCCACTAAAAGCCATACAGCAAACAATGAGTCTTGTTATCAAAAGGATCACCTGCACAGTTAAAACAACAAAACCTCACACAGACATAGAGCAAAACCAAAAGTGTTCACTTACTTCCTCAGTGGAAGAAGTTAGAAATGTATGAAAAAAATGGCCTCGAAAATCTGCTATACCAAACACCTCTATAGACAAGAAACAAAAATAAAAACCAAACATTTGCTTTCCTGCTTTTTCTTTAAAAGTTTCCATCTTACATGATATGCTATTAGGTGCCTTCTTAATAGTATCTAATCTACTTTTTCATTGCACAAGTAGGCATCCTAGGATAGATCTCTTATTACCATCCATGTTCATGGAGAACTGCTCTTATGGATAGTAAACCTAACTCACAGTCGGGCCATAATTAATGGGCAGTGGTATTTTCTAAAAATCGATTACTGCACACATCCAAACCACATTAAATTTTCAACTTAGAGTTCAAACAAAGTCTATTTCCTTTCTACAGTAGCTATCACGCTCCAGATTACAGTTTTGAAATCCAGGAAGTGGGAACAATGTCTTATTTATTTTGTTGCTGATGCGTCTTTATATCTTCCTTTCTCCTTTCTTCCTCCCTCCCTTCTCTTTTATTTTTTATTTTTTTGCTTAATAAGGTTAAAAGAAATAGGTTATTAAGAAAATCAAAGTCTAGTAAACATCAAAACTTATAGATCAGAGTGGTCACAAATTCTTCTTTGTAATGATGTTAAATTACCGACAAAATGTTTTTTGAAAACAAAAAAAATCTAAAAACCATCACATGCCAATGGTGCTCCTTATTTAAGCAACTGGCGTTCGTCTATGCTTTTGAGTCGTTTCTTCCGGGGCTGTACAAAGTCATCATCTGAGTCATCACTAAATTTATTATCTTCTGATTCATTCCTGAATTCTAGTTTAGGAAACCTTTTTTCTGGATAAAGGTTCTTTAGAAGTTCTTCAAAATAGCTTTCAAGTTTTATACCAGCATTGGCTACTTCTGAATCAGGCTGTTGGAGAAAAATAAAAATATGAATTAAAAAACAAATATCATCATTTTAGACAGTCAATAAAAGTAGTTTCTCACATTTTTGTTACCTTTTAACTTGATATTATAAATATCAGTGGAACATTCTGAGAAAATGTTTATGCAATGTCAGCGATATAAAGTAAATATATCTTTGACTTATCTGGATTATTCTAGAAGGGGGTGGTAGTGGTAGGACTGGATTACCAGAGATTAAAAAGATGCCATAATCATAGAATTATGTAGTAGGTATTTTTAGGACAAATTAAATAAATTGTGGAACTGTGTAATGAGTATCCAATAAATGCAACAAACTGACAAATGACAAAATTTTTGAGAAAATTTTAAAATTAGAGCTACGTCCTTAATATTTTAAGATCAATATCAAAAAAGATATTTAAACTATGTCCTTAATATTTTAAGATCAATATCAAAAAAGACTAAAGTATGGATGTGCCATATTACAAGAAATAAAGGTGAGACTGAAAAAGAATACTTTCAGGCTAGTTAAAAAAACATTCTAATTGTTTTCAAGTTGTCGGCTATAATTTCCATTTGCACTTATCATATAATAAATATAAATATATCCACATTTGAATATAAATGTGGATAAAGTTATTCCCTGACAGACTCTAACTTTTGGAAATTTCTGCCAGCATAAATAGATCTCTTAACTTCCTTATTTTGTTGATAAAGTATTTGGTTTAATATTACTTTCAATATTGCTATTGGTTCTTAGCAACCCCAACTCACCTCATTGAATTCAGCACAGTTTTGAAAGATTAATCTAAAATCAGCTACAAAATCTTCAGGCTTTGTATACACGAAACAATCTTCTTGTAGTCTTTTCTTGATAGTCGACAAGTCCATTGGATTTTTAATTATTTTGTAATAATCAGGCACCTTTTAAAATAAGTAAGATACTATAATACAAATAACTAAATTCTGCCTGGTCCTAAATAAATTCTTTATTTTCATACATTGGAAGGTATTTTTGTGCCACATTTTTCAAAAGTTTTCACCGTTTTAGATGGAAAAACATTTCCACAATTTCCGTCTTAAACCTCTGTTCTCCTTATTAAACAAAAAGAAATTATTATAAAAAGTATCATTCTTAGTGGGATCTGTCATGTTTTTGCTGCATGTATCATAGCAAATGGACTTTGAATTTGGGTTTGAACCTCAGCTCTGCTATTCAGTAGCACACTCCTGATTAAGTTACTTATCTTCGGTGAATCTTCATTTCTTCATGTATCAAATAGGGATAATTCTACCAACTTCATAGGATTTTGTAAAGACGAATGTGATAATATATATTAAGAAAAAGGGGGCTATTTTGCTGTTGTTGTAACACCAAATGTAACTGTGAGCCAAGATCATAAAAAGCACGAAGTTCTAGGTTACGATTTTAAGTCATGAAGTTTTTATTGGTGGTGTAAGCTGCTTTTCTTTGACATTTTTGTCCTGCCTATTTTGGGTACAAAAGGTCCTTCCCCTGAAAGTATTCATTTCCTTTAACTATCTCAACTTCTCAAAACCTGTTCTCAAGAGAGAAGTTCATTTACTAAGACATTATTTACTAAGCGAGTTTTCTTTTTTAACCTTGCATTAAATTTTTAAAATTTATCAAACTATAGAATAGGTTAAATGTCTAAAGGAATTGTGGACATCAGAGAATAGAGAATATACTGAGTAGTACTTTCAGCACTCTAAAATTATTCATTAAAGTCATATCGAACTTCCAATATGAACTTTTTAAAGTCAATGGTTAATACACACACACACACCCCTCCCCCTCTTCCTTTACTATTAAAGTCTACTTATTATTTGAAGTCTGGACCTATAAATCAAAATATATACAGAATTTTTGGGGTCTCTATCTCCAATGGAAAGTTTTTTTCCCCAACAGTTTAGGATACATGCCTAAACCTCCTGAGACAGAGACATCTGATAGAAATCATCCCAGAGAATAGTAGGTAAAGTTTTTGAGATCAGAAGAATTTATGAGAAATGAATAAAGTTTGGGGCCAATTTGTTAACATTAAAATGTATTTACGATCAAAGCATTCGGTATGTATGAATAAGCTTTAAGACTGGATTAGACATAAGAAACTATTGAAAACGGGTACAGAAACTAGAGTCTCATAAATCGAGTTTCAAAAAAATCACCCACTGTGTAAAAATACATGAAAAGACATTAATACTTACAGTTAGAGGAACTGGGTCTTGAAAAGCCAGGCTCATTTCATGGCAGTAAAGAAATAAAAGTAGGCGTTCACACTTCTAAGCAAAAAATATATAAATAAAGTAACAATAATGAAGTCACAGCTTATTTTCAATAACAATGTATGTCATGGGTCTCAAAGTTCCGGAATAACAATTAAGATCAGTCTGTGGTTTATGTTATATATGAGAGCAGTCCTTGCAATTATAGGAACAGAAGTATTATCACTAGAAACCCATTTGAAGTTCTTTAAAAATAAATTTCCACTTATCTCTTCAACTTTTGTATTGAATTTAATAATAGTCCACAAAGAAAGAACACACGTATGTTAAGAGATCCAAGGATGGAGCCCTTTCCATGGCATGTCCAGGCCAACGCCCCCTTCTCTGAAGGCAGATGGTTCTATCACACACCCTGCTACTCCTCTGCTTATGGGCCTAAGTCCCTGTGGTACTGGTAGTGTGTATCTGGGCCCCCTCTTACATGACGACTTTCATACTGATACAATTAAGTATAACAAAATTGAGCAAAGGAGTTTCTTTAGTAATGCAGAAGTGTTAATTTCATAGGTTTAAAAGTAAATTACAGTTAAATATTTTAGCTGGTTTTGAGGTACAACCTATTACCACTGGGTAAAAGAATGGATTATTTCCAGGAAAAGTAAATGAATAACCCATCTCTCTGATGCCAATTTTCAACAAATTTTGAGGAAGTAAATCTATCTGCTGTAGAAATAAAACAGAACAGAAATTTACTAAAAGTAGACTAAATTAAATTTAAAGGTCCAGACCACACAAAGGATACACATTCTACCTTATTCAGATAAAATATTTTCAACTTCTAGAAAATGTATGTATAATGATTTTTTAAACTAAAAAAAAGTTATAGCCTGCCTTTAAATATTAGTTAAGATTCTTATACTTTTGTGGGGAAAAATACTAAAGAAAAAAGAAGTCAGTATATAATTTGACTGAAGATACATACAACTTCTTTGATGAAAGGAATATCTGTGTTACAATAATGCATGTAACCAAAAACAAACAAGAAAACAAATTAAAACAACAGTCTAGGGTTGGAAATGCTCAAAAACTTACCCTTTTATCTATTGGTGTTAATTTACCATCAGTTTTCTTTTTTTCTGAGTTGTGACTGGGAGCATCACAATCATATTCAACTTCTGGTTTAGATAAATCTCGACAGAAAGTACAAATCCACTCTCCACTGTTGGGAGATAAAGTATATGAATTCCTAACTCATCACTTCTCTCTTCACCATGCCCTTTCCTACCTCCTCCATGCCATCTACGATACAAATTTATTTGGCATGAATTTTAAATCACTGAGGATTTACCATATAGCTACTGTGTACACAGTACCATGCTGAGAGAAAGTACAACTACAATGCAAGAGCCTAAGTGATAAATATTAGTCTAGATAAAAGAGTATGAAATATATATGCAAAATGAATCTATGGCTGATGTGAGGCACAACTGGCATTTTCCCTCAAATGATTCAAGAAAAAGAAACACTCTTGGTACTATTCTTGCAACTTTAAGTTTGAAATTAAATTTTAAGTAGTACAGCCTTCTTAGAACTAAGAGATTAACTCAATGTTTCTTCATCATCTAACAGAAACTGAGAATTTGCTTGAGATGTTTTTTAAATTATATAGCTCATGCTTGGCAAATAAGATGCAATAACTTGTGGCAGTTGTGCATAAGGACCATTGTTCTTTATGGCAACTCCTTGTAATAATTTAAAGGGCCAGTTTGTTTTGTTTTGTTTTCATAACAGATTAGGTTTTTGAGAGAAGCACAAGGAATGTGGAGGCAAGGTATGGGAAACTCTACGTTGAAGGTTTTGAAGTATGCATTTGTGCCAAGTGGACTTTAAAGTCTTTATGTTGCAATGATAGTTAAATTTGCTGTTATTATTTACAGTGAAAGAATGTGGGAAAGGGAAGCAAATACTACCTTACCTTGGAAAATTTGCCAATGTGGGCACATGACAAGAAAGATGGAATACTTTGGGACACTTCTCACAGCATAGGAGTTCCCCTCCATTCTGACAAACTGCACACCAGTCCTCATTGGGGTCATCCTCTTTCCTTGTCTCTCCGACATGAAGGGGTGACTTCTGTGAGACATCCAGCCACTCGGATTTTCCATTTGAGGAATTTTCCTGGTGAAGTCCAGGCTGATCTCCTGTGCTATCAGGGGCATCTGATCTTAGCACAGACTCCTCAGAAGCAGAGCTCTGATTGCTGTTTAAAAGCAGGGAGGTGAGTATGCTTCTTGGGTAGTTGGTCTGTAATAGAAAAAGTGTATGTATTTCTTAAAACTGGAATTCTGCAAGTTTATTAGCATTACTGTGACCCTGGACCAAACACTGTTTTGTCCTGGGCACCTGGCTACTTCAAAGGAGTCTATAAATATGCATAAGAAAAGACTATATTTACTGCTAAGTGTATTAGAGTCTCAAATGGTAAAGAAGACGGGCCTCTACTAAAAATATCATCAAAATAGAGTATCAGTAGTAACAGGGTGTGGGTAATATAGGAAGAATTTTCGAATCTTCTGATGGCTACAGAAATGAGAGAACAGGTGGATAGTATAGAAGTCAACCATACAAACTGTAAGTTCATTTTATTGGAGATGTTAATTTAAATTATACCTAGACACAACGTATGCCTAGAATAGAATTTTTATCATTCATACAAATGTATACTGCTTTAATTCTTAGACGCAGCTTCACCTCTACAAGAGCTATTAATATCTTCAAGATAAATCTAAATTTTGTTAAGAGTCTAAGATGGTATAAATTTCAAATCACTAACAAAATCTGTTATCTCTTTTAAACATTTTTTTTTAATTTCAATGAAATAACCACAGACTTAGTTAAATCATGGGTACATAATCTCATTCCTTGGAGGCAAGTATTTTCAAACTATTTAGCTTTTTCTTTTGGTATTTCACTATTTTATTTACTTCTATATTTCTAAATAATAAGCTTATACCATAATTTCTCAGATTTTCGATTTTAAACATATTTTCAGTTTTATAGTCTTTACTATGAAAGATTAGATTTTCTTCCCGACTCTCCACACTCCCTCCTCACACTTGCACACCCACACACCCATTCATACTATCTTCTTCACATAATTATTAAGCGTTGATTTTTTTTTTTTTTTAGTTTGTAGGCACTAATATAACTATATCCAGCATCTAGTCCAACTGGTCAAACACTGCTGTACTGTTTAAGTATCATGAAAAGTCAATTTTCGATTAAATGAATATTTAGGTTATTATCCTGATTATCTCTAGTTTTTAGTGGAATTTGTATTCAGGTGTTTACATCATTAAAACTATATTGTTCATGGCATAACCATAGAATGTACTATGACTACACTCTTTTTTTACCTTTTTGTTTTTACTGAGTTAATAATTACATACATCTTATTTACTTATTTCATTTGCTTATTTTTGTAGGTACCTATCGCTAAGTCATTTTCACAATCTCCAACAGTGTTATAAAATGCTTCTCAGTGCTGTCAACATTTTTCTCCCCTTGCACACATTCCTATGGAGTCTTCTGTACTCCTGCTACAGGGTATACTGGAGGAGATACTGTCCTGGGGATACCCTTTTCTTTGCTTCTCTTCTGTGTTAGATCCCATTTCTGGGGTCTTATGTCTTCCTCTTTCTTGGTGTACTCCATTTTTGATGAGTCATATTCTCAAATATCTTCCCGAGAATAAGTACATGGAAATTAAATTTTTTGTGACCTGGGACACATGTTTAAAAATGTTTATTTAAGCTTTATACATGATTGATAATTTTTTCATTAAATATTCTGGTACTTGTTAGGCCCTTTCAATTCAAATGCTCATGCCCTTCAGTTACAGAATTCTTATATTATTTCTTTGGCAATTATCTTCCATGTGTTTACTCCATCTTCTCTTTTAAATACCCAACCTCCTCATTTGAGCCTCTGATTTTTCAAACTCCTCTCCATTTCCCATCTTTTTGTTTTAATTTACTGAGAGATTTCCTCAAACTTTTCAACCTTTAAGTTGACTATTTCCCTGCTTTAAAATAACATTTTTAACCTCCTATGAGCTATTTAAAAGTTTCTCTCACTCTATCCCCCAAATAGGAATAGTATAGCAATCATTGATATAATTACATTTTGAGGCCTAGATTCTTCATCTGATTCTTGTTTCACTATAACAACAGGAAAATCGTAATTTTCAGGTGGTCCACTGTTTTCCTGTTTTATTCGGATTGGCTCTAACATGACCACTGGGACTTTGTGCGTAGAATCAGCTCCTGCTGGTTTGCTGGAAGAACCAGAGCTATGAGAGAGAGGAAAAATAAAAAACATCTAAGAATATACCTTCAGTATCTCAAAACAAAATATAACCATAGCGTGCTCTGAATAATGCCAATATCTTCACAGCAGTGGTAACTATGTTACATCAGTAATAAATGATACATAACTTAAATTCAAGTGCTGTATGTAAAAGTTTCACTTATGTATAAAAAATGTTCTGTTTACCTTATATATTTGGAAAGATATTTAAATAAATTTAAATAAGACAAGAATTAAAAGCAAACTGACTTCAATATTCTGAGGCTCTAAAATTAGGCAGCCAGATTTAGTACTTTAGAACTAGCATCTTTTAGGCTTTCTCATTTCCTTTTCTAGTCAGTGACAAAGAGATTTCTAGGCTCACATTAACAATTTATTGTCACAAAGTGTAAAGACAATTAACTAGAGACATAATTTATTGATGTTCTACAATTTAAGAAACATAGTGGGACAAAAACCATTTACAGATAGCCACTATGTTCTCATGGGATTAAACCCAAACCTTTTCCCATCAGAGAATGTTTTCCATATGATTAGAAAGTAAGAATTGGGTTCAAGATCTAGGAGAAATCTGTAAGCATAATGAGAAGATGAGCAAAGCAATAAGTTAAAAAAAAATTTCATCAACTGTAAATTTATTTACTTTAAACTAGAATCAATCTTTGGTCATTAGAAAAGTCAGAGAATACTTAAGTTATAGTATAAAATTATTGTTTCTTTTCCCTAAGTTTGTATTTGTGGGTGTTCCTATACCCACAAATGAAGTTGTACATACTTCACTTTTATTTTTTCCTTGCTATTATGCTGAGGTCAAAGATATTTTCCTATTTCCAACATATACACAAATATTATTGTATCTTTAAAGATAAAATTATAATTTACTTAACAAGTTTATTAAATTAACATAATAATATGTAATAACTATTAATATTTTAAATTTTTTTAAGTAAAGAATAAAAGAAGTTGTTCAAAATGTACTGAATACCAAAGCATATTGAGCACTCAGGCAAAAGAAATCAATTTAGAGATTTTTCTACCTAGAGAAAGTCAGTTTACCTTCCTCGGCTCCCAACGCTGGAGGCACTAGGTGAACGTATTGGTGGATGTACACTAGTCATAGTAACTGGTCCTGAAGAGGAAATTATACACATTCATAAAATGAGTTAATAATTATGTATTTAAATTCTACTGAATGTGCTCACTTAGTACTACATTGAAACTGGGAACGTATAATGACATTATGTAAAATAATAAAGTTGCTGAACACTCCTAGCACAGTCTGAGCTCCATTAGACTGGCAAGGCTGTTCAACCTCAGCACTACTGACATTTTGGGCCAGATGATTCTTAGTTGTGGGGGCTGACTGTGCGCTGTAGGATGTTTGGCGGCATCCCTGGCCTCTACCAGTTATTAGATGTCAGTAGCATTTCTCCACACTTCCCACCCAGGGGCATGGCAATAAAATATGTCTCCAAACACTGCAGAATGTCCTCTGTTTAAGAGTAACCAGGGTAGGATCTCAATGAGGACACTAGTGCCTGTGAAAGCTACAGAAGCAATAAAAAGGGTAGGGGCTGATATAAAAGCCGTCCAAGAAAGAGATCTACTACAGATCAATTCACAGAAGACACTGAAACAAATATTCTATTAGGCAATGCACATAAGGTTCTTTGTCCAGTGCCTGGCAAAGAGTCAGTACTGGATAAAGTTAGCTTTAGTAATACTGCCAAAATGGTTTCCAGAAATGTTTTGTCAAGTTATACTCCCCCCAGCTACGTATGAGTACTTTGTTCATTACATTCTCATCAATGAGTATTTTCACTGTTTATATCTTTGCTAATTCAGTAGTTAGAAATTATATCTTTTGATTTTTTTTTAATGACTACTAGTGTGACTGAACACCCCACAAACACATTTTACTGGCTATATGTATTTTCTATTTAGGGAATTATTAACTCATTTCCTTTGGCAATATTCAGTACTTTCCTTATTAATTTGAATGAATTCATTATATAAACAGCCTCTGCTACATTTGTCTGCAATTTCCTTCCAGTTTTTTTGTATGTCAAGTTTGTCAATGTTTTAAATAAGCATCTCCTTTTAAACTGTGTAACTGCCTTATGTTTATGTGACTGGTGAATGACTTAAATTCTCCTCTTTCCTTATTTTGGCCAAAGCACCAATTTTGCCAAGGTCTCCGGGAGTAGTATTAGTCAGAATGCTTCTTTCTCTCTTGGAGGAAATGAATAGGTATGTTAAAAAAAATCCTTAAATACTAGGCAAATTACATATAAAATGAGGCCATATCACAGGCGGCTTATCAAAAAGAGAAAGTATAATACTAATTTCCTCCTGGGAGTATACAATGCCTATAAATTATGTTGAAACTGAAAAGGTACAGAGGTTTAACCTCTGCTTCCTACTCTGAAAGTACCGTATATTGATTTTAAGTAGTGCCAAAAACTCAGACCCATTTAATCATCCAATGAAGAAAGGGAATTTTTTTTTTTTTTTTATTACAAGATGAATAAAAACTAGAAAAACACTTGCAAAATCAAAAGAAGCCCACTTTACCTGCAAGGCCTGGAGATGGCACTGATGAATTTGGTGACTGGACAGTTCTGTTTGAGGGTGGTCTTGGTTGGCCATGATCAATACCAGTATCTTTCCTCACAATATTATCCAGCATAATAGTACTTGAACAGTCTTTTTTTTATTACAAGATGAATAAAAACTAGAAAAACACTTGCAAAATCAAAAGAAGCCCACTTTACCTGCAAGGCCTGGAGATGGCACTGATGAATTTGGTGACTGGACAGTTCTGTTTGAGGGTGGTCTTGGTTGGCCATGATCAATACCAGTATCTTTCCTCACAATATTATCCAGCATAATAGTACTTGAACAGTCAATCTTAAAAAAAAAAGAAATTCTTTTATGGCATCCTGACTTTGCACGTTAAAAGCTACTTTAAATTTATAAGGAAACTTTACCAGTTAAATTATCATCAAATAATAAAACATGCAAATATCACATGAGAAGTTATAATGCATATTTTCCCCGTAAACAATCTTGAAAAGAGCTTTCACCCTTCTTTATGTTCCATCTTAGTAAATATACTGAGGACACACTATTGCAGAAGTCATGAGCTGAGAGAAAGGAGTACTATGTGTCATTCACATCCTTAAAAAATAGAGCAAAAAACATTAAAATAATTTCAAAATAACGAAAGGTAGCTAAGTTAAAAAAAAAAAAAAACCTTGGTGAGAAAAGTAGCACAATTTCACATTTCTGCAAATCTCTTTAGCATCTTGTTTAGTAACAGCCAACTGGATTCTTATATCTGCTTCTGTACTCAATCAGCTTTGACGTGTGGTTTTGGTTGAAGAATAGGAAGAAAATCTGGTCTTACACAGGAAGGGCCCTGTGGGGTGTCTGAGTCTCTGAAAGAGTGGAGGGGCCCCTGTGTCCTAGGCCCACAGGTCGAGAACTGATGCTCTGGTATGCATTAGATAGATGGATCAAGTGCATACCTGACACATTTCCAGAACACTAACGTCACCTAAAAACATTACTACCATTTGGTAGAAAAAAATGATCCCTCATAGATTCTTGCTTTAATGTAATAGTATACAAATAATCCTTGTTTCCTAATTGACTGCCAGGCTGAAATACTGATAAATTTCTATTGAATAAGAGTTTGACACTTTAGATGCAAGTATTTTTCATGCTTATAGACACCATATATTTCTTAAGAATGTCTCTGTGATTAAAATCCAGTTCACTTCTCTAATATAGCCGCAGCCTTTCTCAACTGGGATTTTCTAAGAAAATGGAAGTCCTACAGTCCTAGGATGCAGACAGCATATAATGAATTTAGTTCTCGCCTCTGCATGGAGAATGGTGCTACTTATGAACCATCCTTGGGAAGACTGAGAAAATAGCCACTCAAATCAGTTTCTTTGTTCTGTGGTTCAGATGATGAATTTTAATTGAGAAAGGCTGGTAGACAAAGGGCCACCTGTATCTGAAGACTGCAGAGGAAAGAGCAGAAGGTCAATTTTGCTTTCTGTGGGTCACCTTAAAGTTGGGAGCGCGGGACGTACACAGGGTCATTTACGTTTAACATTCTTCTGGCAATATCTTGGCCAATAATTTTTAGTGAGTATCGAAATAACTGGATTTGACAGATCTTAATGTAAGAAGTTACTTACACTGTGGAGTAAATGTAAAAGTTAAACCAAATTATATGAGACAAAGGAAGTTTTCCTATGTATTACCTATGTGTGAAAAATACATGTACTTCACCCACTTAAGTATATACAATTATTTACATAATGAAATAACTCTGGTAAGGTAAATGATGCCAATATTAGGAAATATTGATCTCAGTAACCTGAAAAACAAATAATGAAAAATTAAAAATTCTTTTACAATCTTACAAGATATTTCTTAAAATTTTTTTGTGCGTGGTTAACCTTATAGGATTAAGAAAAGGTAAAACAAGTATCGAATTACATATGGAGATTTGTCTCTAATGTTTTATTTTCAGCTTTTAAAGACTTTTTAAAAAGTCGTACTAATAAAGTTAGAATTTAGAGAGTCAATATATTTAATTTAAATAACAAACACACGAACAACCTATAATTCAACAAAACTATGCTTTTAACAGATTCGAGTTCACATAAAATTTTCCAAACATATTCATATAAATTTTGTGTATACTTACATCTGGAAGAGAAGGAAGATTATAAGAACCTCCCACTGGTGAGCTCAAATCAATCATAGGCGAACCAAAAGCCTTTCCATCGTATCCTGCTGCACTAGTAATGGTGGGACTAGAAGGAGTGGAGGACGTGCTGTTGGCAGTTGATGGGGGAGCCTGCCCACTGCTGATCTGCCACTATAGTAGAAAGAAGAAAGGTTGTCTATCAACAGGTGTGTGACGGAAAATGTCTACCTAATCCCTGTTCTAGACACAAAGCAGAACACATATTCTGCTAATCGAATTCAACTGTAATTTGAATGGAAAGGTTAGAGGGCACAGGCAAGCATAATTTTCATTAATCTCATCTAAAAATAAAAAGAATTGCTTTTCCTAAGAAGAAAACAGTATATACCAGAAAACCACAGTACCAATCTTGGAAAACATATATATGCTGGAATAGAAATATGAACAAATGCACAGCAACTCCAAGGTAAAGACAGAGGGCTGAAAACATATTTTCTTTTGTCTCTACCTGATATACCTGAAACTAAAATAATGGTTAAAAGGAATTTTAAAAGGCACTCACTCATAAAGCAAATAAGTCAGAAACCACATTTTCGAAGCTAGAAAGCAGACGGACAGATAGCAAATAACTTAATGAATCTGATAAAGTGGAAACCTAAGCGGGCAGTGAGGAAAACAGAAGCACATCAGCATACACTGCAGAATCCCTAAGAGGTCGGGAATTAGAAGCATGAAAGGTAAAGCTAGGGCTAAAAACGAAGATAAGGTGAGAGTCTGTTTAAAAAGAGTTAAATCTCACGTTCCTTTCCTACCCTACCTGTAGCTACCGCAAGATAAACAAGAACTCCCTCGACCTCCACAGAAAAAGGCTGGAAGTTTACTCTCTGGGACAGGTAAAACTGTGTCTTTAGACAGAAAGGCACCAGGCTTAGCTGAAGACAGAATACTGCACTGAAAATAAATATTCAGAAAACATACACACTGAATGCCAAGCTTCCCACCCACTCGGCCGCTGGCTCCCTACCAATCTTCTTCCCCCGGCTGGCTTCAGCTAGCAGCCAGACCTTGCATTTTAGGCAGACGATCCTTTGGGATCTTCTTAGACCAGCCTAAGAAGTAAGACCTAATGATGATACTAGGAATTCTCTCAATAAGCATGCCTAGTAGCCTCAATACTAGAGTGAAAGCTCAATCATCTAACATTAGCCTCAGACTCAAGCTTTCAGGTTTTTTTTTTACTCATTTCTCATATTTGAACAGGTAATTAAGCACCAACATATGAGGAAACTTTTTCATTTATGTTAGAGGCTGAGATAAACACATTAACTAAGCTAACAGAAGGAATGCTTAAGTGCACAGAAAAAGGCTGGAATTTTACTCTCTGGGACAGGTAAAACTGTGTCTTTAGATAGAAAGGCACCAGGCTTAGCTGAAGACAGAATACTGCATTGAAAATAAATATTCAGAAAATAATAAATAATAAATTTATTATTATAATAAAACTGGAGAAAAGGAAAGCAACCAAGAGTTATCTCAAAATTATTCCAAATACAATACCATTTATATATGGACTACACTATATAGTGCGGTAGTGTCTGAAACATTCTAATTTATATGGTCCACTGAAAAAACTATGTAAAGACCTGTGAATGTGAATGTCATCTTTACTACCAACTCACCCCTCATATCCATCCACCTCTCCCATCCCTGCCCGCCCCACTTTGCTGGTACCCCTTCTTCCTTCCGTCCCTAGAATAGTCAGTTACAGCTGATACATATCCTCCCAGGTATATGAGATTTAAAAAACCCACAAAAATGAGAATACCTCACAAAAAATTCAGTAACATGTTTCTTCCCATTTAATATACTTAGGAGATCCTATATAAATTACCATATTTTCTTAACAGCTAAAAAGTATTCCCACTGTACAAGTATATTATAATTCGTTAAATTAAACTACCAACTTAAGACCAATTCCAAATTAAAACCACTATATTTTTTCCTAGTTTGTTCGTTTATTCATTCACGTTTAGATTTCTGACCAGGAAACATTTTTAAAAACATTCTTAGTGTGTGTCTACCCATTAAAAATAATAAATGAGGAAGAGGGAAAGTAAACATTTGAGTGTGCAGAAGGTGCTAGGTGTTTTTATACACATTGGCATTAAGTCTCAGCACAACTCCACAGAGTATTTATTTTACAGTTGAGGCAAATGAGTTTTAAAAAAATAAACATGCAGAAGGCCACAAAATTAAAGGAAAATAAACAGAATTTAAGACCAAACTAGCTTGGGTCCTTTTCATCTCACCTCTAATGACACAACAGAGATAGGTACAAATTTTACACAGACACACGCTGAATGTGTACTTTTAAAATAAAATTTTCAAACTACTTGATCAAAATCAATCTCACAGAATTATGGAAATAGTATCATACTCTATTTTGGTCTTGGCAAAATAATTAAACTGAAACCAATCTATACGTCTTAAGCTGGAAAGACTGTAGACACGATGCTTAGAGAAGACAAAGCACTAAGAGAACTAGTTTTAAAAAATGAATGTAATACCTAGAAATTATTTTTACCTGGACATAAATATAAATATTAAATTGTATCTACTATATAACCATAAATATTAAACTTTATCAGATGCATAAGTACTCCATATTAAAACTGTGTCATGCTACATTTATTCCCAGGAAGTATCCTTGAAACACTTAAAAGATTCATTTATTGTTCCATTTTGCAGAATGTTAACTCTGTTATAATGCTTCTGGTCTTAGGAAATTTAATGTACTCATCTAACAGCTATACATATCAGTATTGTAAAAATTAGTTTCTATGACTCACTGATTATTCTGGGCCTTCATTCATAAAGTGACTTGATTTCTCTTGTCAATCACAAAGCATCAAGACCCTTTCTCTTAGCCTTATATCTATAGGTCTGTTTGTAATTCATATTCATTCAAAAAAAAAAAAACTTGCTCTTGCTGTTGCTTCATCTATAAATTCAATGTGATTTGGAAGTAGAGAGAAACAGAATAAGCAACTGAGGAGAAGTGAAAATATATACCTGTTTTATGGCTTGTTGAGCCAAGAAAGCCATCTGTAGGGGGTTGGGCTTTACTGCTTGTCGTGGCATATTCTGGGTTGGTGGATATCTCAGTTGTTGATGAGGAGGAGGAACAACTGGTCCATTGGGTTTGGGGCTGTGATTTTGAAAATTTATCAAACGTGGAGGAGGTTGCTAGAAAAAAGAAATTGAACCAATTCAGTGACAATCATCTCCTGAAAGACAAATCATAGAGAACTCTATTATAACTTTTACAGAAAGACAGCAACTCTGTCACAGATGAATTATTTATTAATACTACAACAAGGTTATGGGGGAAGGAGGCAGCCTTCCAGAACATGTATGAGCAATTTAAAAAACAGGAGTTTTATTAGGAAAGAGCCTTGGGAGAGGGGTTTCCAACTATAAGTAGATTATACCAGGAATGAACCTAGGCCACAGTGAGAAGTGGGGAAAACCTGTCTTTGGTATCCTTCTACGTCGCTGATGATTATCTTTTGCAAAGAATTGCCCTCTTCAAACCTCCTAAAATAATAACTGCTAACATTTTATTGAGCAGTTATTACATGACAGTATTACTTTACGAGTGCTTTACATGTGTTAACTCAATCTTCACAACAATCCTGTGAGGCAGGGATTATTTCTATTTTACAGGAAAAGAAACTAAAGTATAGAGAATTTAAGTAACTTGTCAAAGATAGTAAGGGATGGAGCAAGGGTCTGAACAAGTACTGTGGCTCAAAGGTCTACACTCTTAACCAATAAATCATTAATAATGAAAACGGTTAGTAACATTTAAAAGTAAATGAGTTTTGGATCTTCTTGAGATCAAACTATATGCTAGACACTGTGTTTAGCATTTTACATGTTATCTCATTAATACCCTCCCCTCATTTTACAAATTAGGACACTAATCGTTTGAAAGCTTAGATAACTTGAAAAAAGTTACACAGCTAGTAAAAGGCAGCACTAAGGCTTTAATTCAAATCTAGTCTGCCATATCATTACCAAAACATGTCCTGGTGTTTAGCTGAGGACTGATTAAGGTACTGACTAATTACAGCTTAAAGGATGAGTTTCTCTAAAGAAAAACAGATTTTGAAAGGAAACTCTTTAAGGACAACACTGGTTGATTACAGGACAGGGCAAGGGCTGGGACGGCACTCCTTCTTTGTTCATAAAGGCTGGCCCTGGAAATTGAGACTAGTGTTCTAAAAAAAAAAGGTAATCTTATACGCTAGTCTCATCTTGACTATCCAATTCTATAGTTGGCAACTTATTGCAAATACTTATTTTCAGGCTATCTTAACTGTACATGATTAGAATTCCTCACAGAGGGAACTATTAACTCCCGCATTCTCAAATGGACAAATAAATGTGGAATTGATAAAGCTGAAGTAGCAACACCTTAAACTTTGACAGATGAAGGCAGATAGCTATAAAGTAGATAGCCTTGCCCTCTTTTCTTTTGCTTCTCTCATTTTTGGAATTTTCTTTCCTTTACTGGGTAACATTGCTTCTCTCTCCCTTCCTTCTTACAAATTAGTTAGCACTGGGTTCACTCTTAGTAACATTCAAGAGTAGCCAGCAATTATAGACCCAAGGAAAAAGATTTCGATACTGTTTCAAGACCAAGAGAAATTCTGTGGGTGAAAATTAGAAAAATATTAGAGAAAAATAGAGAAATGTCAAAACTTTACAGAAGCAAAAAGCCTGAAGCCATAACAATTGTTTTTCATTCTATTAAAGTTTTGTGATTTGATGGGATTTATATCACAGAAACACAAACAGAAAAATAGAAAATTATAGTGGAAAATTTCTAAATTTATCTAAAAGATAATTCCTTAAAAAGTGGAAAAGCACACAAAATAATCCTTAAAGAAGAATAAAGGTAGTTGTAGAAGATTTTGCTACCCTACTCTCATTCCCCTACCCAGATTCATATTGAGTCAGTCAAGAAGTGACACTTGATGCCAGAGTAACATACTGTGTAACGTAGGAATGAATGGATGTCAACCCTGCGATGTGAGATGACTGTTTTTAGTGGTTTTTTTTTTTTTGCCTTTCCTAAATTATAATAGTTGATCAAGTTAATTTCCAAGAACCCTGTGACTGAGGAAGCAACTTGAAAGACTAAGATTAGGAACTAGTTATAAGCATTAAAAAATAGCAAATCAGTGTTATTTTAATCTATTAATTTGCAAGATACGGAAGGGAAAAGGGAGAATAGAAAACCAGTTGAGTTCTTAAGGAAACCGACACAGTCATCCTAATCTTCATTCTAAGTACCTCCGTTGTTATAGGTTTTGATTTTATTCTAGGTCAGCAGTTACCAACTGAGTATAACCATGAAGGATAACAGATGTCTTTCTAACATCCATCCACTGTTTAGAAAAATTAATGTATACATATTAAATGAGAGTACTTCCACAGGAGTAAATCTGGCTCAAGAGAAAGAATCATTGCTGTAATTTATGTATAAAACATTGACAATGCTAACAAATTTAGGACTGTCTATTGGAGTACAATATACTGTATATTGCTAAACTAAACAGAGATGCATGTCTATCAGGTATGTACCAATTATATGCAGTCATATAATTATGTATTCTACCTCTGTATCACCCAACTCTTTAACCATGCAGAGTACATGGTGAATCTTCAGAAGAAGAAATAGGGAGTTATGTGAGCGATTTTTAGAAGCAGTCCTTTAAATGTACTTGGACCCTATGAACATATAAAGAGTATGATTTGAACATATCCACCTATCTGGAGGCACACATACACACCTACTTATATAGACATTTTCCCATACGTATATGCAAATAAACTGGTAGAAAACTAAGAACATAAGTGAGCAGGGCAGTGTAAAAATTTATAGAAAAGTGCAAACTGATGAGTGAAAAATGTGTGAGTGGGTGTTTGGCAGAGAGCAGCTAAAAATGAGAGAAGAGAGTGTGAAGTACAAGAGTCACTTAGAGTCAACAGAAAAAGAACAATGTATAAGATAATGACCAAAAGATGCAAAAATTACTTTGTTTCTAAATGGGAAAATTAGGTTGAATAAAGATTGTACATTATAAAAATTATGTAGCAGTAAATCCTAGAGAAGAAAAATAAGATCAAAAGCAAATTTCTGAGATACACAAACTAAAAGTTCTGAGGTCACTTCTGTTGTCATTGCTTATGTAAAATTCATGAGAATGTGACCAAGTCACATAATATCTATTAATGCTTCAGTTCCTCACTTCTTAGTGAAAAGGCCATTAACGAATCATGGATTTATCCTTTTTCAGGATAATAAACTATTACATAAAAATCATTTCTCACCTCCAGACATTTAAGATAAATATTATTCATGCAAATGCTTAGCACTAGAGCACTCAATACATAATTATTTTCTCTCTCTTCTCCTCTTCATATTTATCTTCAGAAAAATCTTGGTACCCTTTGCAGTCTATCTGTAATACGTTACTCTGCAGTCTGCAGAGCTAAGACAAAATTATTCCTCAATTTTCTTAATAAAATTTCAACGTTGCCAGTTTGCACTCCTGGTATCTAATGTGTGCAAGTCTTTTCCCATGGAACACTCACCGAAGACGTCTTAAATTGCTTGTTTTTGCTTCTTGTAAACACCTGGGTTAAAACAGTCTGAGAGGAATAATCAATTGGGCATACTAATATTCCCCTGGATTTGACATGCCTTCCTAATCAAACTACTACAAAGCCATAAACCTCAAATACATCACCTCAGGCCTTCAAAGGAGCGACTTAACAAAATCAGGATCTACGTATGCCCATAACTTTTATTTAGGGTTGAATCAACAGTCCTATGAAGACCATTTCTGTTTTGTGCAACTGCTACAAAAATGCTATTATGCCACTTAATTGCTTTTCATAAATACCTACATTATATATTCCCTTTAGTGCTAGTAAAATGTTAGTAAAAAGTTTCTCCTCTAACTGGCATGTTTCCTTTTTATCAAATAATACAGATACTATTTTTTTTTTTTATTGTGTAGGTTGACAAAAAGTTCTAAGTTTTGTTCTTATGTGTAATGAGATTTCTTAGCCTAGTTCTACTGACTTTATTAAGCTCTTATTAAACCGCATTCCATTTCATTTGTGTCATTTACCGTAAGTCACTTTAAATCCTTCTCAAAAATATGAAGATTATAAATAAATAAATGTAACTGAAAATAACAGAAAAATTGTAAAAATTAGACTTTATACTCCTTACTAAACCTTTGTTAAATCTAAGTATGCCCACATTAACCTGAGTAGGACGGTTCAACTATTTAACAAAGTATATAAACCTTTTACCTTCAAAAATTGGATTAAAAGTAAATAGTACTTTATATCTAGTGAAAGTAAGAATGGTTCATGGAATATTTGCTCAGAAATAAAGTTTGAAAAAGGTAGATTTCTAATGAACCACACCCCTATACCCTTTTCTATTTCATTTTGCCCTAGTTTCTAAGATACAATGTGGTTTTCTAAACATTGCATCCCCACAGAGAAGAGATACCTAAAGAATTAGTCATTACGAAGCACTAACAAAGGAATTACGAGACACAGGTACACAACATTTCCCATCAATCACAGGCATGGGTTGTTTAGGAATGCAATCATTTATCCTCTATTATAATTTGAAGACAAGAACAGATGAAAATAGGTGTATCAGCTAAATAAACCATTCATTCTTTTTTGAGAAGGCCTGAAACCTAGGAGTTAAATCAGAGATCCTCAATGTGATAAATTCTTGTAAATTCAGATATTTAAATCATGGATGACGGATGTCTTGGTTATTTTAAGAACTGCTGAATACAATTGTACTATAATTATCTAAGTTAGGACAGGCCTGCTTCCAAATTTACCTGATGAGAGATGGAAGGCTGCTGGATGGGCCCCTGCATTCTAGGGTTTGGTAAACCCACAGGTGCTGGCCTCCGTTGCCCCTGTTGCCTCTGAGCCATTACCTGTTGCTGCATATGCTGGAGTCGTAATTGAGCTAGGCTGATCTGTGTTGGAAACTTGGATAACTGGTTTGAAGATAAACCACCTTGTGGCTGTGAGTTCTGTTCCACGACAGGATTCTGCTTAGGCATTTGTGGTTGACTTTCTTTATCTTCAATAACTAAAGAACCTAATCAAAGAAAAGGGGTTAAGTTCTAACGTTTTTCTGATAGTGAAAAACCACATTTTGTAAGGCTATTTTTACTAAACTTTAGAATTGCCAAGGAACTTTTTGATCTCAGGAACCCTTTACACTCTTAAATATAGAAGGTCCCAAAGAGCTCTTGTTAATGGGGGTTCTATCAAAATTTACCGTATTTGAAACTAAAAAGGAGAATTAAAAAAAATTTACTCGTTATTTCATTTAAAAGTAATAAACTCATAATAATACACATTTTATGAAAAATAACTTTAAAAAATTTTACTGAACAGTGGCATTGTTTTACATTTTTGAAAATCTCTTGAAATATCTGGCTTAATAGCTGAACTCTTTCTGCATTATCTGTCATAATATATCATTTAGGTTAAAATATGTGAAGAAATTCCAGCCACGGAGATGTGTAGCTGAAAAAGGGAGACTTCTGTGGTTTCCTGAAGGAGGCTCAGACTATGTTTTGAGAACTGCTGTTGTATATCAAAATAAAGTAAGCCAATCAGACATTGGTACTAAAAACAATCTCACAAAGTATTTCTGATTCTTTCGTATTAATAATATGGAATTTCTCAAATTCCTTACACCTTCACAGTGCATACGATATCAGTTCTCTGACAGAATACTTTGACTGGCTTACAACTTACAGAGTTTAAAGGTGCCACTAATAGGGTTGATCCAAGCAGAAGGCAAAGCTTGCTTTCTTCAACAGTAGAGAATTAAATGTTTTTGATTTACTAAGTATATTCATACTAAAAAAATATAGTTATCATTCATTAAATACTCACTGTGATAGGCATTGTAACAGCAGGTCTATGTACATTCCTGTTAAAGACCTTTTTATAGTTAAGGGATCTAAAGTTCAGAGAGATTGAACAACTTACCCAAATCACACAGTAACGTTAACCGAATATTCATCTAGATCGATATTTTTCCCTTGCTCCAGAAAAGATATTTCTCAGAGTTTGGGAAACTTGTCTCCTTCTTGGAAAATTTAAAAGGTAAATCTCATTGTAAATGACAATTTACCAAGCTATAAATGACAGCTCTGAAAAGTCCTACAGTAAAGGACAGTTTAACTTTATTGTCTCTGAGTTTCGCAAACTCTTCACAAACAGGAGATGCTTTTTTATTTTTGCTGATGTAGCGTCATCTAAAATTATACCATTTATGTGTGTAGTTACACACATTGTCTTAGTTTTACCTATGCCTACATTGTGTGGTCTATTTTGTAAGTGACATACTTATAAGTACATATATCTCTACATATATGATTACTTGTGTGGATATATAACTTGTGATAGGTTTTCTCCATAGTTGTACGTGTGGGGGTAGGGTGGGGTAGGCTAAGCGATAGTTACTTATATGCTTTGCATTATGATGCTTTTTGTAATATAGGTGAGAGTGTGATTCCAGTTGCCTGTTATGGATCAATAAACAGATGGTTGCATTAATTTCTAAACTGAACTGCACAGGTCACTTTATCACATTTTCTTCAAGGGATTACTCTATCATCATTCTTTTTGTTCTTCTCTTGCATGGATGGGATTTGTGTAATCCTATTTCTTCTATTCCTGGTGTGTTCTGAGCCAGGATTCCCCATCCCCCAGGCCGTAGACCATATTGGTCTGTGGCCTGTTAGGAACCAGGCCACACAGCAGGTGGTGAACAGCAGGTGAGCGAGCAAAGCTTCATCTGTATTTGTAGCTGCTCCCCAGCGCTAGCATCACCGCCTCCGCTCCACCTCAGATCATCAGGCATTAGAATCTCACAGGAGCACCGGTCCTTGGTGCCAAAAAGGTTGGGGACCGCTGTTCTGAGAACTGGCTCTTTCCAGCCATTTCTTCCTGTCCTATCCAGAATCTAGCCTAGGGAATGACAGAGCAATCGTCTTTGATAATTTTGAAACAATGTCAATGAGCCCAAAACTGTGATCAAAGGGAATACTGGTAGTTGATGAAGAATGTGATAAAGAGGATGTTCCATATCATCCACATGTTTACATGTTTATATTTATTCATATGTCACATATATACACACATTAATAAAATACTAGTGAAAATTCCATGTTTTCAAAACACGATAATGAAAACACTTTGGGGGTAGAAGGAAATACATTTTCAATAACATATCATAATCATTAGGAGTTCCAGAAACAAATGGCATTTTGCGAAAATGTACATAATGGCCTACCTAAATTGATAATATTTTGAGCCCAGAAACTAGGATCACAGTGAAACTGGATGGTATTATTGGTCACTGGGGAAGCATCGCACCTTGCTCGAAGGAGGTGCCGTAACCGGTATGTAATCTAGAAGAAAGCAGAGAGACAACTAAACATCAATATTTTTATCAGGCATATAATTTATTAAGTTCCCAGGAAATACACAAAAAATGGTCTCTGGTATGTATGCCAACACAAACAATCATATATAAATTATAACAAGTAGACATGTAACAGCGATCAGACAAGAGAAATAAAGGTATCCAAATTGGAAAGGAAGAAGTTAAACTCTCATTATTTGCAGATGACATGATACTATATATAGAAAACCTTAAAGATGCTTCCAAAAAACTGTTAGAACTGATCAATGAATTCAGTAAAGTAGCAGGATACAAAATTAATATTCAGAAGCCAGTTGTGTTTTTATACACCAATGACAAACTTTCAGAAAGAGATTAAGAGAACAATCCTATTTATAATTGCATCAAAAACAATAAAATACCTAGGAATCAAATTAACCAAGGAGGTAAAAGACCTGTTTCTCAGAAAATTATAATCACTGAAGAAGACAGAAATAAATGGAAGCATATACTGTACTCATGGGTAGGAAGAATCAACATCATTAAAATGTCCATACAACCCAAAGCAATCTATAGATTCAACGCAATCCCCATCAAAATACTAATAGCATTTTTCAGAGAGGTACAATAAATAATCTTAAAGTTTCTATAGAACCATAAAAGATCCCAAATAGCCACAGCAATCTTGAGAAAGAACAAGGTTAGAGGTATCACATTACTTGATATCAAACTATACAAGGCTACAGTAATCAAAACAGCATGGTACTGGCATAAAAACAGACACATGGATCAATGGAACAGAATAGAGAGCACAGAAATAAATCCACATCTATACATTCATTTAATGTATCACAAAGGAGGCAAGAATTTACAATGGAGTAATAAAGACAGTCTCTTCAATAAATGGTGCTGGGAAAATTGCAAAAATATATGCAAAAAATAAAACTAGACCACCTTCTTACACCATATACTAGACTCAAAATGGATTAGACTTAAAAGTAAGACATGAAACCATAAAACTTTTACAAAGAAACATAGGCAGTAATCTCTCTGATATTGCTATTAGTAATTTCTTTCTGGATATATCTCCTCAAGTAAGGGAAACAAGAAAAATAAACAAATGGGACTACATCAAACTAAAAAGTTTTTGCACAGTGAAGGAAACCATCAACAAAACAAAAAGACAACCTACTGAAGGGGAGAAGATATTCACTTATGATACATCAGATAAGGGGTTAATATCCAAAATATATAAAGAACTCATACAACTCAACAAAAACAACAAAAAAATCCAATTAAAAAAATGGGCAGTGGACCTGAATATTTCTCCAAAGAGGAAATATGGATAGGCAATAGACATATGAAAAGGTCACTAATCATCAGAGAAATGCAAATTAAAACCACAATGAGATATCACCTCACACCTGTCAGAATGGCTAACATCAATAAATCAAAGAACAAGTGTTGGCAAGGATGCTGAGAAAAGGGAGCCCTCATACACTGTTGGTGGGATTGCAAATTGGTACAGCCGCTATGGAAAAGTCAAAAAATTAAAAATGGATCTGCCTTTTGACCCAGCGGTTGCACTTCTGGGTATTTATCCAAAGAAAACCAAAACAGTAATTCATAAAGAACTGTGCACCCCTATGTTCATGGCAGTACAATTTATAATGGCCAAGATATGGAAGCAACCTAAATGCCCATCAACAGATGACTGGATAAAGAAGTTATGGTTCTTATATACAATATCACTCTGCCATTAAAAAAATAAAATCCTATCATTTGCAAAGACATGGATGGCCTAGAGGTCATTATACTGAGTGAAATTAAGTCAGACAGAGAAAGATAAATACCATATGATGTCACTTGTATGCAGAATCTAAGGAACAAACAGAACAAACTAATTGAAAACAGACCCACAAATATAGAGGACAACTGTGTGATTGCCAGAGGGGGATGGGGACTGGGAGAAAGTGGCGAAGGGTTAAAGAAATACAAATTAGTCATAGAGGGTCACGGACATGCGGAGCACGGTATAGGGAATGCACACAGCAGTAAGGTAATGGCTATGTGTAGAGCCAGAGGGAAGGCAGAGTAATCAGGGAGATCATTTCATAAACTGTATAAATGTCTAACCAATGTACTGTATACTTGAAACTGATTTTTTAAAAAAGTAGACATATAAGTTTTCTTTCCAAAACGTTAAAAGTTTTGAGGTATAACTCAATTGGTTATACCGTTGAATGCAAAACTGAAAAGTATCTTGAAGTGATTAAGGTTAAAGTCAGTTTTTTTTCAATTAATAAAACTTCACAGAAACACCAACTAAATATTTGTAAAACTAAAAAAATAACACGTTTTGCTTTTGTTTACTTTTAAAGAAGGATTCAGAATTTAGATTGGGTGGCTAATGAGTTACAGTAAAGATAAATTAATCTCTGCTCAGAAAATGCAAGTACGGCCCAGAACTAGGCCTGCTAAGGGGATGCTTCTCCTTGCTCCTATTCTTTTGAGTTTCATGTCATCACAACAGCCACCACCCTCCACACGCAGTCCTCAGGGAATACTCCTCCCTCAGTCCTTGAGGAGAGGCAAGGGATTATGTGTAATGGGGTATGTGAGAGAAAGACATGTTACGGGCATATGCAAGGAAATTATCATGTTCGACCCTGCGATTTAAGCTGGACAAGGAGGTACCGAGGGATAGAAGGTAAGGGTAATGATAAGGTGAGGTTGAAGGACAGGGAACAATTTTAAGAGCAAAAGCGCATAGGACCTTTAGGGTTTGTGGGAGTATGGCTATCTGGGTACCAGCGGAAGTAAGCTGGAAAGAAGGATCATCTAGTTTATTATTAAAATCATCAAGAATTATGACAGGAGTAATGTTGGAGCTAAAGTGTTTTCCCCAGACAAAACAACCCTAGTTAAATACTTTTGCCTGAATGTAATTGGACTGATAAAGAAACTGATCTCACTTCAAAATACATGACTACTTATTTTGGTTCGGTCCCTAAGGCTGATTGGCTAAGATGACATTTTTCTAGTCCTTCACTTCCTTACTTTTCTAAATAACTATTATCAAACCTTCTTTTCTCTTTTCAAATCTCCAACAGCTCCCCCATTCTCAATTGCAGCTAATGGCCTTGCTTACTATTTCACCAAGAAAACAGACAATAACCTTCTACAACCTTCCACCATCTATCAATAGTGTTCTCTCTTATTACAATGGATTAAATAAACGGCCATGACAATCATTCCACTTGTGCAGTTAGCATCAACCCCTCTGGTTTACTCAGTCGTGACTCAACAATTTTCTTCCCTCCCCTGTATCACCCAGCTCTCCATTTTACTGGATCACTCACATCAACATATACATGTTTTAACTTTTCCCAACTAAAAATGCAACTCCTGTCTCCCTTGCTACTGCCATCAACTGCCCACTCCTCTTGCTCTTTTACAGCAAAATTCTTCGAAAGACCCATTTCTACTTATTGTCCTCCATTCCTCTCCCCTAATTCTTTTCTGAAACCACTTCACTCAGGCATTCAGCAGCTTTTCACACACAGGACTCCGCCCTCACAGAAACATTTTATTCCCTTGGCTTCTAGCACACTGTCTCATGGTTTCTCCCCTTATTTCGCCTACTGCTACTTTGGGGGTTTGCTGAGAATAGGTATGGGTTCCAACGTACCGTCTCAGTCTCCACTGTTGGTTCTTTTCCCTCTCCATTACTGTATACGCTGCCCCAGAGCTCAGTCTTTCAACTGTTCCCTTTTCTCTTACAGCAGATTTTTGGCAACCTCATCTAGTCTCACAGTTTAAATGACTTCTCAATTTACATCTCAAGCCTAGTCCTCACTTTTGAACTTGCATTTCCAACTGCTTACTCAGCATCTCCATCCTGCTGTCTGATAGGCATCTCGAAGTTAAAAGTCTAAAAGGGGAGCTGCTCCTGATCTTTCTCAAGTCTACTCATCCTATAATCGTCCCCGTCTCAATTACTGGCAACACTATTTTTTCCTGTTTAGTTAGTCCTAGGTTCCTTTCTTTCCCCTACACCCTACATTCAACCTGTCAGCAAATCCTGTTGTTTTCTTAAAAGATATAAATAATCCTACCAATTCTCCCATCAACTCTATTGCTACCACCCTGGAAAAGCCACCTTATTTCAGTAAGGTTCTAAGTGGTCTCCCTATTTCTTCTCCTTGGCCCTCAGCTACCTATCCTCAGCAGCCAGAGTGACTGTGTTATTATAAATCATATTCTGTCATTCCTTGCCTCAAGCCCCTCTAATGGTTTCCCATCTCACCCATTAAAAACCAAAGTCCTCGTAATGAACTACAAGGCTTGTGCTGTCTGGCTTTCCGTTACTTCTCTGACCTTACTCATACTACTCTCTGCTCTTTCCTCTGTTCCAGCACCTCAGGCTTCCTTATGCCCACATCACAAAAACTTCCACCTCAGTCTTTGAACTTGCTGTGCTGTCAGAATACTCTCCAAACATGTGTGGCCTGCTTCCTCACTTCCTTCACGCGTCTGTTCAAATAGCACCCTCTTTAGTCAGATTTACCTAAAATTACAACCCCTATCCCAACGCTCCCAGACTCCTCTCTTTTACTTTTCTCTAGAGCATTTAATACTACACAACAGTCTATATATTTTATTTATTTTAGTATTGCCTATCTCCACTGCAATGCAACTCCAGGGGCAGAGATTTTTGTTCTCTGTTCCCTGAGTATTTAGAATGCCGCCTGATAAATAGCTAGTATTCAATAAATAAATAGTTATAAATTCTGAGTAGAAACCATTAACTTATTTTGACACTATGTAGAATACTTGGCAGTGTTTACCAAACAGCACTCAATACGATGTTCTTTCCCCCAACTTTTTCTTCTTTTCATTTTTTTGCATCCTCTAGTAATTCTATGAAACATTCTCATAATGTGCTAACCAAAAGATTCCAAGAACTTTCCTTTGTAAATATCCTCATGCTTTATCATTTTCCAA